AAAAAAAAAAAAAAAAAAAAATTAAAAGATCACAGAAAAATCTGGGTTTCTGGCCTCTCTTAAAATCAGAGACCAAGTGCCCCTAGAAAGTAGTGGGTGTGGTTTACTCCAAACCATACCCAGAGTCTCACACCCTGTCCTAACTTGCTAAACCTAGTGTTACAAGTTTGCCACTAACGTTTGTGTTACAAGGACTTCCTTTCTGCCTGGTACCTGTATAGTTAGCATGGCCACAACCTAAAGCAGCCAAAGCACTACCAGTGTGTTTCCACCACTCCTAGGACAGACACCACTAAATACCACCAAGTACTAGCTGAAAAAAAAATGGACACATGAATTTTGGAGCTAAGCGGGCCTGAAAAAGGAGACTAGTATCTGGCATATATGTACTCCAAGAAATTGTGTGTGTGTGTGTGTGTGTGTGTGTGTGTGTGATGCTGGAGATTAAATCCAGGGCCTTAACACTGAGCTATACCCCCAGTCCTTTTTTAAATTTTAAGACAAGGTCTTGCTAAGTTACTAAGATGTCCAGGCTAGGCTGAAACCTGTGATCATCTTGCTTCAGCCTCCCAGAGTGCTAGAATTCGGGTCTACACCACCATGCCCAACAAGTTGTTTTTTCAATGAATGATTCTTTAAATTCTACAGTTGAAGATGTCCAAGAATGGACTACATCTTTCTGGAACCTGGGGCACACAGTACAGAGGAAGAGAAAAGCAACTTTGATAGCCAGGAAATGGTCTGACCCTCACAGTAAGGCCTTAGCATTCCCACTGAGCAGGACCAATTTCACAGCACTTCGCCATCAGAAAAGGCCACTCTGCAACCAAGATGTCACAAAACAAGAAGGCCATTTCATAATGCTATTTGAACACTAACAAAAATACAAAGAATTGAGGCCAGGGATTTAGCTCAGTGAAGCTATACCTGCTTCTCAAATGCAAGGTCCTGAGCTCAATCCCCAGTACTGGAAAAAACAAACAAACATTACCCAAAACACAAGAGTTATAGTTTAGATCTAAAATGTCCCCGTCTCAGGTTCAGAGGTGGAGCTTTTAGAAGGTAAGTGGATCAAGGGGGACAATATACTCTCAATGGATTAGTCATTGAGGAGTTCATAGCTGACTATGCTGGCGGGGTCTGGTTTGAAGAGGTGGGTCTCTGGGAGTGTGACCTGGAAGGGTGTATTCTTGTCCCTGGCTCCTCCCTCTCTGCTTCCTGACTGCCCTGATATAAGCAGCTTTCCTCTCTCCGCCTAGCTCTTCTTCAACCAAGCAGTTTCTGCATTGGAGCCAGCTAACCACGGACTAAACCTTCTGAAACTGTAAGCTAAAATAAACCTCTCCTCCAAGTTGGGGCTGCTGGCTATTTTGTCCCGGTGACAGAAAAGTGACCAGACATCCCTATGTCCTGTTAATGTAAGATACCACTGCTTCCTTACCAATTAGAGCTTGGTTTCATTCTTCATGCCTTCAGGATAGGAAATCTCTGAGACCACAGAATTAGCTTGCTTGCTGGCAGCATTCAACACAGAGCAAAGTCTCACTTCTCTGAGCATTCCCTCCCCACAAATCCTTTCTCTGAGATGCCCCCCAGCCCTGCTTCAATGCAACCAAGAGGTGAAGCCAACCACACTGGACTGACTACAGGAGTGCTCCATGTGGTTTTGACCAGAGGGCCCTGACAGCACAAAGCTTTTCTGAACTATTCTGAAAAAAGATTTTTACTTTCTTTATGCATTTCTGTCTTCTCCAGAAAGACTTTCCACAATAACACCTACTGTATTTGTAATTGGTAAAACACAAATGTTATTTTTTTTTAAACGGGGCAGGATGAAACGATGGCAATTTATAACAGTTGAGGCCATGATTTGTGTGTGTGTGTGTGTGTGTGTGTGTGTGTGTGATGCTGGAGATTAAATCCAGGGCCTTAACACTGAGCTATACCCCCAGTCCTTTTTTAAATTTTAAGACAAGGTCTTGCTAAGTTACTAAGATGTCCAGGCTAGGCTGAAACCTGTGATCATCTTGCTTCAGCCTCCCAGAGTGCTAGAATTCGGGTCTACACCACCATGCCCAACAAGTTGTTTTTTCAATGAATGATTCTTTAAATTCTACAGTTGAAGATGTCCAAGAATGGACTACATCTTTCTGGAACCTGGGGCACACAGTACAGAGGAAGAGAAAAGCAACTTTGATAGCCAGGAAATGGTCTGACCCTCACAGTAAGGCCTTAGCATTCCCACTGAGCAGGACCAATTTCACAGCACTTCGCCATCAGAAAAGGCCACTCTGCAACCAAGATGTCACAAAACAAGAAGGCCATTTCATAATGCTATTTGAACACTAACAAAAATACAAAGAATTGAGGCCAGGGATTTAGCTCAGTGAAGCTATACCTGCTTCTCAAATGCAAGGTCCTGAGCTCAATCCCCAGTACTGGAAAAAACAAACAAACATTACCCAAAACACAAGAGTTATAGTTTAGATCTAAAATGTCCCCGTCTCAGGTTCAGAGGTGGAGCTTTTAGAAGGTAAGTGGATCAAGGGGGACAATATACTCTCAATGGATTAGTCATTGAGGAGTTCATAGCTGACTATGCTGGCGGGGTCTGGTTTGAAGAGGTGGGTCTCTGGGAGTGTGACCTGGAAGGGTGTATTCTTGTCCCTGGCTCCTCCCTCTCTGCTTCCTGACTGCCCTGATATAAGCAGCTTTCCTCTCTCCGCCTAGCTCTTCTTCAACCAAGCAGTTTCTGCATTGGAGCCAGCTAACCACGGACTAAACCTTCTGAAACTGTAAGCTAAAATAAACCTCTCCTCCAAGTTGGGGCTGCTGGCTATTTTGTCCCGGTGACAGAAAAGTGACCAGACATCCCTATGTCCTGTTAATGTAAGATACCACTGCTTCCTTACCAATTAGAGCTTGGTTTCATTCTTCATGCCTTCAGGATAGGAAATCTCTGAGACCACAGAATTAGCTTGCTTGCTGGCAGCATTCAACACAGAGCAAAGTCTCACTTCTCTGAGCATTCCCTCCCCACAAATCCTTTCTCTGAGATGCCCCCCAGCCCTGCTTCAATGCAACCAAGAGGTGAAGCCAACCACACTGGACTGACTACAGGAGTGCTCCATGTGGTTTTGACCAGAGGGCCCTGACAGCACAAAGCTTTTCTGAACTATTCTGAAAAAAGATTTTTACTTTCTTTATGCATTTCTGTCTTCTCCAGAAAGACTTTCCACAATAACACCTACTGTATTTGTAATTGGTAAAACACAAATGTTATTTTTTTTTAAACGGGGCAGGATGAAACGATGGCAATTTATAACAGTTGAGGCCATGATTAAGCAAAAGTCACAGGCAATAATGTTATCCAACTCTTCTGGCCAAACCTTCCAACCTCCCCAGCCCCAAGGGTGGCCTAAAAATCAGGGGCTGGGAACTTAAGACAGGGCCCCACAAACTGAAGCTGAGAAAGAATGGCCTCATGCAAGAAAGTGTTTTCTCAAGAAGCTGTTCCTGCCTCTTCAAGTGAAAACATCACAAGTTTTCAAAAGCTCAGGCTGAGCTCACCTTGGGTCTCTATGGCCTGACGCCAATCATAAATGAGGCAAAGAGGAAGTGGTGACTCCCTCCTTCCCACCTTTCCTTTGAATCAGTTCCTAGAGATCCTCACTGCAATAGTTATAGCCAACCATATCCTGCAGAAAACTCTGTTCACGAGATGAGAGGTAACTTACAGGAATAGTTTCCCAAAACATGAAGACCTGAAGAGAAAAAGGTGAGGAATGAGGGGAGGAGGTTTAAAGAAATTTGCCCCAAGGGAGAAAGGAAGAGGCAAGAAAAAAGATGAAAATATAAGGAAAAACTGGAAACTAAGCTTTTGTACATAGGGAGTGGAGGGGGCTTAAAAGGGGGGAAGGGAAAAAAGAGGTGAGATACATCATACACAGGTGCAAATTCCCTATGATGGGTGCTATCATCATGCATGCCTAAAATGTACCGATAAATGTTTTGCTATTAAAAATAATTTGCCTCAAAATGGAAACGCTTCTCTAGCATCCTATCAGATGTAAATTTACATAATGTCTATGAGAAATGATCTTGCCATCTTCGAGGCACCTACCATAAAAGAGACCCAAAAAAAAGGACAGAAAGTACATGTTTTTGCATATGATGAAGTAGATTTTAAGTGCACAGCAGATGAATTTTGGTCTATTTGTGTATCTGTGCTCCTCTCCAATCAAGATAGAGGACACTTCCATGGCTCTAGAAGGTCCCTCCACGCCTGTTCATCATTAACTTCTGCCACCATATGCGACTTTCTGAAATTCAAACAATGCTATCGTTATTCTCATTCATGGATTCGGATACTATGGCTCAGAGAGGATCAGTTGTTTCTGGAAGGTGAATCAGTAACAAGAAAACAAAAGACACGAGCAAGTCCTGGCTGGCCTGGAGCCCCTGAGGCTTGGTGTATTTAGAGCTATGACACATATAAATTGAGAAAAGAGAGCACCCCGCCTTCCCTCTTTAAAAACCGTGTTTTTTTAAGATGGGGAGCACTGTATAAGGACTCGGGATTGAGAATCAGGTGGTTGTTTTAGGCCCAGCCCTGTCACGTATGAATCTATTCCCATCATTCAAACAGGGCAGCAGCCACTCCCAGCCCCCAGCTATAATGGAGGCCATAAAAAGCACCCAGCACCAACCCTGGCTCAGATATGAAACATTCAAATTATGATCATCTGGGAATGTTCTCAAAGTCTCAAATTATCTCCTCTTTGGAGACTGTTTCCAGCTCTAATGATGACTTGAACTTTGAGACAGAGGCTTGAGACTCCAGGTTAGACAGGGAAAGCCCTACAGCTTCCCAGAGCCCACCCCTCCCAAGGTCAGTGAACCCAATACCCAGAAAGGCCGTTGGAGAGAACTTTCCAGCTGTATTCATGTTCTCAGGCCCCAGTTACAGTGAAGTGAAGACACAAAAAAGTGGATGATAAACTTCTCACAGCAAACCTCTCTACTGACACCTGTCCTCCCATCCCTACAGGCATCCTGCTGTTTTACTCCTTTCAGAGGTTTGATTGCCTTATTAATAAGGTTGGGGAAGTAGAGCAGGAGAGAGCAAAATTGTTTTCAAGAATCAGAGAAGATATACCTGAGACACTGGTTTTGGATTCTAGTCAATGGAAAATTTGAGTTACTAGGATAAGTCCATGCTCTTTCCTTCCCATTTGCCCTGAATACACAGTTGCTGATTCTAAGTAATGGCTCTCTACCTAAGCACACACTGGACTCACTGGGGGAGCTTAAAAAAATACTGATGTCTTGGTCATAGCCACAGAAATCCTGATGTCATCGGCCTAGGGGTGTGCTAGGCCACAAAATTTTACAGTTCCCTCACACCTGTAATCCCAGTACTCAGGAGGCTGAGGCAAGAGGACTGTGATTTTTGAGGCCAGACTGAGATACACAGTGAGACCCTGTCTCAAAACAAAACAAACAAAAAACTAAATTCAATTCTTCCAGGCAACTCCAAAACATAGCCAACACTGCAAATCACTGTCCTTAAGTCTTGTACTTCCCAATTAAGCTATAATTAACTAGCAGTCTTAGAGAAACTCTCCTACTTCTTGGTCTGTTGGCCCAGTGAACTCCTGACGCATACATCTAAAAAAAAAAAAAAAAACCAAGCCGGGCATGGTGGCACATGCCTGTAATCCCAGCACTTGGGAGGCTGAGGCAGGAGGATCTCTGAGTTGAGACCAGCCTGGGCTACACAGTGAGTTCCAGGTCAGTCTCAACTACATAGTGAGACCTTGTCTCAAAAAAACCAAAACCAAACAAACAAACATAAAAACAAACCATAAATAAAAGCCTCTAGTTCATAGCTTCAGAGTCATAGGTAGGAGGCAATTGTATAAAAACAGCTGAAAAGAAAAAATCTTGACTTGAACAGGGATCCAGATTAAGTACAGCAGAGAAAAAAAGACAACAAATCCCCACACAGCTGTTTCATGTATGCATGTATATGCGCGTGGCGGCAAACTAGACTGAGCCTGGCAAACCTAGTCTGCAATCCTGGCAGTTCCACCACATCTTGAAGCTCGGAAGAGCAACTTCAGCCAAAATTCATTTTCCTAATTTGTAAAATCTAGTGCTAAAGCCATAATCTTCAAAAAATCCCCCAAGGAATTGAATGTTAAAGCACTTGGCACCTTGTCCCTCGTTTTCCTTCTAGTTTTGAGATGCTGTCCCCAAACCTAGCTACTAGAATCACTTGGGCTACACCTCAGACCAATTAATCAGAATCCTGTAAAGAGAGGCTGAGAGCTCGGTAACTAGTGTTTAAAAATCACTTCAGGTGACTCAGATACGCTTCCAGGGCTCAGCACCACTGGGCTGAGGAAGGTGTTTGTTTAATCATCATAGATTCTATGATCTAGAATCATAGGGCTGTGTGGCAAAAAAACATGAGGTTGGGAACTCTTACAGCAGGGAAGTTTAAAAAATACTGCACTGAAAGTAGGCAAAACACTTCCCAAAACTGTGGGCAAGTCATACCTCAAAAGTCTTCCATTTCAGTCAAACAACTGAATTAGTCACACAACTGCAGCATTAGTGTGGGCAGAGGACTTCCTTAGAAAACAACTATCTAGTCAGGTTTAGCACACAAACAACATTAGCTTGTTCATCTCAATGGTCTAATGAGAAAGATACTATCGTCAGTACCACTTTCAGGGAAAGAAAATTAAGGGTCAGAACTGTAAGAACTCTAATTAACTCTGACTCCAATCTGTAAGCCCCTTTCATTTCATAGCCCAAATCAAGACATCCTTCCTTTAAACTACCTGCATGATCCCACCCTCAGGCTGTGGTAGACCTTGAAATTTTGGCCAAGTTTTAACAGGTTCCCAGGTGATATCACTGTTGACCCGGGGGCCTACATGTTGAGAACCACTAGTTCAGGTGGTCGTCTTCTTCTTGAGTGTAAAGTCTTTATTTTGCAGAAAATGAAACAGATCAAAGTCAAATACAGATGTACTCGTTTTTCTTTAGATTGGGACTGATCTTCCCTAAGACTGCACTTACTTGGGAAGTGACAAACATATAAACAAAAAAAATGACCTGGGCTGATCTTTGGTTGTCCCCACTGAGGGACAAAGAGCTACTCAAGGAACAGACCCTTGAGGATCCCAAGTAAACAGAAACCTTCTCACAGCTGAGACAGCAATATGAGAAAAACCTCAGTTCCTGAGGCGTGGCCACCTGAGGCCTCAAAGGAAGTGATCAGATATATACCCAGGCACCAGTTGGGGGTGGACTGCGTGACACAAGTACCTTGACTTCAGACCCCTGGCATTCCTCCCTGGGATTCCAAGCCCTGAACATACGCTGGCCTGCCAGCTCCCTCTCACCGATGTGTTTGTTCAGAGGAACCTGACAGCCGCTTTCCCGGTACCCTGAGACTCTTACTACACCTTGCAAGATACCAAACGGTCTCTCCAAGAATTCCCGCTTTACCCTTTCATAACCTCCTATTCCCCTTTAACAATCCCCCAAACCTTGATTTTCCACCCCAAATGTGTTTTCAATGAGATTTCTTTGTTCTCACAATCTTCAACTCCCATCTCCAACAAGTATTCACCATTCGAGATCCTCCACTCACCCACATATACATCTACTCCCCAAACCCAAACGCACGTGCCCAGATCTTCAACAGCCAGGGTTCCTCCAATTCTCCACCCCACGCCCCTCC